CTTCAACAAGTAAAGGGCAACAACAATTCTCAAAAAGCTTCACACACTCTTGATCAAGATAGTGTGAAGCAAAATCAATTTATGGTGCCAACAAAAGCTTCAACAAGTGAAGGGCAACTACAATTCTCAAAAGCTTCACACACTCTTGATCACAAAGCTTCAACACAAAAGCTTCACCTACAAAGTTTCAACATCAAACAAAGCTTCAACAACAAAGCTTCAACAATGGAGAGCAACTACAATTCTCAAAAGCTTCACCCACTCTTGATCAAGATAGTATGAAGCAAAATCAATTTATGGTGCCCAACAAAACTTCAACACAAAAACTTCACCTACAAAGTTTCAACATCAAACAAAGCTTCATCAATGGAGAGCAACTACAATTCTCAAAAGCTTCACACACTCTTGATCAAGATAGTGTGAAGCAAAATCAATTTATGGTGCCCAACAAAGCTTCAACACAAAAGCTTCACCTACAAAGTTTCAACATCAAACAAAGTTTCATCAATGGAGAGCAACTACAATTCTCAAAAGCTTCACACACTCTTGATCAAGATAGTGTGAAGCAAAATCAATTTATGGTGCCCAACAAAGCTTCACCTACAAAGCTTCAACACAAAAGCTTCACCTACAAAGTTTCAACACAAGAGCTTTACCTACAAAGCTTCAATACAAAAGCTTCACCTACAAAGCTTCAACACAAAAGCTTTACCTACAAAGCTTCACCTACAAAGCTTCAACACAAAAGCTTCACCTACAAAGCTTCAATACAAAAGCTTCACCTACAAAGCTTCAACACAAAAGCTTCATCTACAAAGCTTCACCTACAAAGTTTCAACACAAGAGCTTCACCTACAAAGCTTCAATACAAAAGCTTCACCTACAAAGCTTCAACACAAAAGCTCTACCTACAAAGCTTCAACACAAAAGCACAAAGCTTCAACACAAAAGCTTCACCTACAAAGCTTCAAGACAAAAGCTTCACCTACAAAGCTTCAACACAAAAGCTTCACCAACAAAACTTCAACACAAAAAACTTCACCTACAAAGCTTCAACACCAAAGCTTCACCAAACAAAGCTTCAACACAAAAGCTTCACCTACAAAGCTTCAATACAAAAGCTTCAACACCAAAACTTCAACATCAAATCTTCACAAAAAAAAAAAAAAAAAAAAACAATTTCGAAAATTCAAAAAAAAAAAAAAAAAAAAAAAAAAAGGGAAAGAAAGAGAGAAAGATGAGCCTAGGCCTTCCTTTCTTTGGGCCTAACAACTTTCATACCAAATATATATGAATGAGGAGTTTTGGGCAACCACTTAGAAAGGAAAATGGTGAAGTTTTGTTTGGAAAATTGCCTACTAGCAAGACACCTCCCTTGTCAACTCCCTCGATTGGAGACTTGGGGGACTTCTACCATATACCACTACACCTTGGTACTCAGAAATTTCGCGACTACTCAGTGCCTTGGATTTTTCAAGTCCCCAACCGAGAAGTTTTCCTCACTCAAGAAATTAGGGGAGCACTATTTCAACCCACAGGGTCCACCCACGAAGTTTCAACATTCAAACTTCAACAAAATAAAAAATTCAAAGATTTAGTGTTGAGTACTATTTAACACAACACGTTGAATGAAGTAAAGCTTATTTATTGATATCTTCGATAAATTACAAATACATGCATACACATGAATCAAAATAAACAAACAGGAGGGCGCCTTCACAAAGGCTGCTCAGGAGAAGTCTCAACACTCGGCAAAGTCCCAGAAATAGGAGGCACCGGAGGGTGATTATTTGAAGCCTCAGTATTGGGCAGAACCCCAGAAAGAGGAGGCACCAGAGGTTGATCATTTGGAGCTTCAGTATGTGGTACAGTCCTCGAGGACGAAGGCAACAAATGCCTTTCGAACAAACTCATAAACCTCTGATGATCATTTAAAATCTAACCCTCGGATTCCTGTAACTGGTCAAGCTTTCTCTTCATGGTTGTAGCATAGCTATGTGCGAGCATGTGTAATTGTCTATTCTCGTGCTTAAGCCCTCTGATCTTCTGTTTGAGACTTATTACTTCAGTCGCCAACGATTCAACTTGGCGGGTTCGAGCAAATAGGCGTTGGGCCATATTAGACACAGAACCTTCACATTGAACACTGAAAGCCAGAGAATCCTTAACAGCCAACTCATCGGATTGTTTGAAAAGTAGTCTGTTGTCTTTGGGAGTAAGAAGATTCTTGACCACCATCACAGCGGTCATATCATTCTTCATCACAGAGTCCCCAATAGTAAGGGGACCAGTAGGAGATAAGAAGGATGGGCGCCATATATTATCTTGAGGAGACATGGCTACCTCTTCTATAGTATTCAAGTCCAAACGACGGTCGGAGGGGTTAGACATTCTGAGAAAAGATGAAGAAAAAAATGAAGTACAATAAGTCTCAAAAGTACGAAGATAAGGGAAAAAATCCTACAAGCAATAACTTTCAGAACGGACTCCTTGAACTTAATTGGTGCTCCTATAAAAGAAAGAGCCAAATCTTCAATAGGGCTACTTGTTCAAAAATCGAAGAGGCACCACTTTCCAAATTTCGAGAAGCGGATTTCCTGGGTTAAAATTTATTAGCAATCTCCACACGCGACATCAATTCCTCGGATACCAAGGACAACTTTGCCAAAGAACTCTGACAAAGTTAAGACAGGTAAATGTTGAAGGCCCAGTTACCCTACTATTACCCACAAAGATAAAGGAATAGCACCACTGCTTGATTATTGGAAAATCCTTATGTGTGTCAACCTCTGTGCTCCGTGGCAAAGCAGACTTGCAAAAATGCCCAACCTTTCTTCACATCAGAGAAAACACTCCCAACAGGATTGCTTGCCCAGAAATCGAAGAGGCACCGCTCTCCGAATCTTGAGAACCATATCCCAACAAGATTGCCTGCTCAGAAATCGAAGAGGCATTGCTCCCCGAACTTCGAGAAGTCGGATTTCATTGGATAAAATTTGTCCACAATTCTCACACGCAACATCAGCTTTCTGGATACCACAGACCACTTTTTCAAAGTGCTCTGACAAAGTTAAAACATGTGAACCTTGCAGCGACCACTACATTGTTTTGACCGAGAAGGGTAAAGGAACAACATTACCACTCGCTGTTGGGACAATTCCTATATATGTCGACCTTCATCCTCCACAGCCAGGCAGACCTGCCAAACAAAAAAAAAATGCTCAACCCTTCCCCACATCCAAAATGGCACTCCCAATCTAGCCTTTCGAAATACTTCGTTTTCTTCTCCTTCGATAATACCCATGCCAACCAGCCACATCAGAGCAAGAATATCTTATATCATCAGGGTTGAAAGCAAGAGTATCCCATATCATGCTTTTTCCTTGTCTTTTCCTTTGTCATTGCTCTTACCTGCAGGACAAGGAGAAAGAATGCAATCAGTCGGAACCTGAAATCAAACTTCCGATCTAGAATTGATTGCCCAGAACCTTTGCCTGGTCGCTTGCCTAGTATTACTCTCGAGTACTCATCCTCAACTGTTGTCAAGGTCATGAATTCCTTCGGCAAATACCTCAGAACAGTTGGTACGATATTGGCTCTTTACACTGAAGCTGCCAAGCATGGATGAGTCACTGAGAAGTAGTGCTTTGGAGGACCATTTAAATGCAAAGGTTGCGCACCATTTCTGCTGTACAAAAGATTAAAGCAGAAGGTTCAACGGTGAGCTAGAACAGATCACTACAACACGACGCCCTTTCTTGTGGAACCGCACAATCCAGACGGAAGAGTCTAAGTCAAATCCAAGCTCGGCATCATTGCTTTAATTGAAGAGATCGAGAAGCCTCAACAGCCTTTTGCTAGCACCGTTGTCGAAGAACAAAGCTTCGCCATACCACATCTACTACTTTGTCAAACAGCAAAAGTATCCCATATCATCAGGATCGAACATACTCCAGGTCTGACGGACTTGTTTTGACCCTCAAATTCTGGAGTCAGCTCGCTTCTTTGGAGGAAACCAGAAAACCCTCCAACCCAGTTCAAGAATACACCTGTGGAAAGTCAAGTACAGCAAAGCATGTGCCAATTCGTCCATCTTTTCCAAAAACAAGAGTACCTTATATCATCTATTCTCCCTGTTTCTTCTCTTTATCCTTATTGCTGAATGAGAGACAGGGAGAATGAGTGCAATCAGTCGGAACCCAAGATCAACCTACCGATCTGAGACTGATTGCTTGGAACCTCGATTGCTTACCTTGTCTGTCACCTCCTACTATATGGTTTGTATCGCACTTGACCAAACCCGAAACTACAAGTAAGCTTCAAATGAAAATGATACATTACCTTGTGCGTCAACGCCAACCAAAGATACCACTCCTGGATGAAGGAAAAGTACTTCCAAGAAAAGATGCCACATCTACTTACAGGACAAAGAAGGCAAGTGAAGGCGACACCACACTTCGGTACTTGGAACTTTCGTGATTACTCAATGGCTTGTATCTTGCAAGTCCCCAACCGAGGAGCGTCCCTCACTCGAGAACTTAAGGGAGCACTGTTTATACCATACTTGACCAATTCCGAAACTACTAAGCACCGGTCAACAGCATACTGTCAAGGACCCACAAGACTTTTCCTCCAACCAGGAGGCCAATCACAACACGACACATGTCGGTATCAGAGGCCAATCACAGCGCAACACGTGTCGATATCAGAGGCCAATCACAACACGACACGTGTCAATGTCAGAACAAAGCTAGAAACTCTCTTCTATAAAAGGGGATCATTCTCCCATAATAATCTCTAATGTCATTTGTACTAAACTATTCACTAGAACTCACTAAAAGAGAGCTTGAACCTATGTATTTGTGTAAACCCTTCACAACTAATAAGAACTCCTCTACTCCGTGGACGTAGCCAATCTGGGTGAACCACGTACATCTTGTGTTATTTACTTCCCTGTCTCTATTCATTTACATACTTATCCACACTAATGACTAGAGCAACCTAGCGAAGGTCACAAACTTGACACTTTCTGTTGTCACTTTGTGCAGCAACAAAAAAACTGAACGGTTTCAATTATGAAATTTATATGGTGAATATATGTTATTCAAATGAAGGATATGTGCATTTCCCTATGGGGGAACACAAGCATATCCTAAACTAAAAAAAAAAAAAAAAAATGGAATAATACTTGCATTTCCCTTTTGGAACCCCTTTGTGGGATGAGTTCATTCCCTCACTTGCAAACAATGTATCTTCACCATACAAGTTTCATAATCAAAACCATATATATGTTCAATATCTTCATCCTCGTTTGAAGATCATTCCTACAAAAAAATAATTTGAATCCGAGATCATTGGGTCATTCAGATGTATCAAATAAATCAGTGGTATAATTACCAAGTAATGATGACGAACTGTCCATTTACTTGATATTTTTGGATGACTAAACGATCGCTATTTCAAATGATTTTTTGTATAGATGATCTTCAAATGACGGTTAAGATATTAGATGGTTCCGATTTTAAAATTTCTAAAGTAAAAATACTTTATTTCCATGAAGGAGAATGAGCTCATTCCCTAGGAATATACAGTATTATTCTAAAAATTATAATACGTAACATACTACAATAAGGAAAAAAAATTATATTAGATTAATTATTATTTATTCAACAACCATACTAAAAAATGATAGTACCCAACATACTACAATAAAAATTAAAAATTAAAAATTAAAAAAAGACAAAAATAAATAAAAAAATAAAAAACAACAATACAATGTAGAAGAATTCCAAAAAAAAAAAAAAAAAAGCAGGAAAAAAAAAGAAAGCCATATACAAATTGCTTTAGTTCAAATACATGCTTTTGAGTTGTTCCAAATATCCATGTCATCAAAGGAGAAGAAGTAGTCCATCCTACTCATCAAACCTTCTTCCTGTTGAGTAGTACTACAATTGACACCTATTCTTCTTGTTGTTGATGTTGTATGGGCCATAACATCATCTTCTTCAATCCAAAAGTTTGTGAAGAGATCATGTTCCTCCTCTAACTGCAAACCAGACCATAATAGTGCTCTTTCAACAGTACTACTACTGTCTTTGTTATCATCACCTAACAAGGTTTCACTAATTCCATTAATCTCTATAGGTGTTGATGATGAAGTCACTGCCAATGGCTCTTGTAATAACACTAGATTATTGTGCTGTTGTAAATTAGAATTAGTTGCAGCTAATTTACTGCTCAAATAATTCAAGTTTTTGGAGAAGGTTCGTGGTCGAGGTCGTATTACGACGGTCTTTGTTGTTTCTACTTTAGCTACTTGTTGTAGGGGTTTATGATTTTTCAACTTGTCACATGAAGCCGACTTCTTCCTCCTTAATCGAGTACTCCAGTAATTTTTCACATCGTTTGCTGTTCTTCCTGGAAGTCTTCCGGCAATCATTGACCACCTAAATTGTGTACATATGTGGAGAAAAATTAGAAAATCATTCTATGTATTCATTCACCAGAGCCAATGAAGCCCAAGTCATTCATTTCATAAGTTGGAGCAATCATAACTTTTCGAAAGCCCAACTTAAGGAAACAAATTTGAGCACACCACTAATATCATCGATATTGTCCCCAACTTAACATCTATTAGTAAGGCCTTGGTGATATTAAGAGTTGAATCTTGCATATGTAAATTGTAGATGTTTGGTTATATTTCTGATGTAGAACTCTATTCTCCAACCGTTATTTTCAATCCAAATCTTCTAAAATATATATGTAATTTTGAATTGTAGATATTTTGTTATATTTCCGACGTAGAACTCTATTCTCCAACCGTTATTTTCAATCCAAATCTTCTAAAATATATATGTAACATTGCATGACTTGCCTGTTTCCTACTAGTTTGCGAAGTCTGATCATTAGATCTATTTCATCCTCTCCAAAGTCTCCTCTTTTGATACTTGGCTTCAAGTAGTTCAACCACCTCAGTCTGCAGCTTTTCCTGCATCTGTTTAAACCTGCAAACAAACTTACATTCACTTACGTACTGCAAATTAAAACCCTAAAACCCTCTCTATCTCTCTATCTCTCTATTTTATATATATATATATATATATATATCGTGAAACACATCCGTATAATGTTGGACTATGAATCTAAATAAGCTAGCTGACTCTCTCAATAGATTACTTACACTTGAATATATGTGTTGTTTGATAATTACCTGCTTTGAGAGGAACCTGATGCCATTTTCCTTCACCATGCTGTTGAACGAAGTGCCGGAGAAGATCGTCTTCCTCTTTAGTCCATGCACCTTTTCTCACTACTCCCAACGAATTACGCTCTTCCATCCCTTAATTTTTAGCTTGATGCTATGTACGTCTGCGTTTGCTTGCTTCCAAACACGTCGTCCTGTCCGTCTAATAAAGGCCATCTAAATCCCAGGTACGTACGTGCATCTCTACCATCCACACAAGTTAAGGGAAGACAAAAACTAACGTTAACCCTTACTCGGAACATTTAGGTCCAGTTGGTATCCTATTTGAAAACTTTTATCATTTCTCAAAACATTTCTTAAGAACATTTCTTGAAAACAATTTTCTTTAAGACTCAAAAACTTGATTGGTTTGCGATTTAAAAATTTTAAATCTTTCAACTTAAACTAGACAAAGAGATCTAAAAAGAGGGAGTCGCATGAGAGGGAGAAACAAGAGAGAGAAGGAAAGAAAGTAAGAGATGATTGAAGGAAAGAGAAAGAAGAGAGGGGACCAAATGGGATAGAGAGGAAGAGAAGTGAGAGAAAGAACCGAGAGAATGAAGAGAGCGGATTGGAGGAGAGACGAAAAAGGTAAAAAAAAAAAAAAAAAGAGGGGAGAGAAAGAAGAAAAGATAGAGAGATAGATTTGGAGTGAGAGTGGAGGAGGGAAAGAAAAGAAATGAGTGAGTTCAAGTTTAAAAACTCTAAAAACTCACTTGTTATGTTTTTAGAGAATAGACTATATTTTTTAGTTAGTCTTGAGTTTAATTTTTGAAAATAGTCCTACCAAACAAGTTTTTAAGGCTTAAAACTTGAAAATTATTTTTGAGTTTAAAAAGTTGGATTCAAGTGCCCTTATTATTTTTGACTTTTTTTTCGACGTATAACGACTAGGCTAATATTTATGGAAACATTTTCGCTCAGGTACGCTAACTTTTAATTTCGTTCTATCAACAAATAAGTTGTGTCTCGTGGACGAAAATAATTGACAAAAATTTCTGCATTTTTTGTAATATAAAAGAAGCTTGAATTTATTGACATTTCAGAAAAGGCATTTTGTTGTAACAGGAAAAAAAAAAAAGACATTTTGTCTTATATATTTTTGCGTTTGAAGTGTCCTTAACAGCTCTCATTAGTTGTTTTGACGCAAGAGTATCTTTAACAATTTTGTTGAAAAAAATTTGCTAATTTAGTAGGTAAATAGTCTTAAATTTTTTTTTTTTATCTATTCTCTTTAACTTGTCATCTCCAATAACGATTTCTATTTCAACGAATTTTAAATATTTTATTATAAATCATTTCAAAAGAAAAAAAAAATCACATTATTACCACTTCCTTTTCCCTATGACTTAAGGAGTTTTATTAATTTTTTGATGTTTAACAATCAACAATTGCTTTATTAATTTTTCAATTCCCTATGCTCACACCCAAACAATGTTGTAGAATGCAATCATTAAATACCTTTAAATGATCGTACAAACACTTGGTAGCGAGCTGAGCAAGCTTCCGGTTTTCTGCATAGAGCTATGTAATATTGCATGTAGTTATGTTGGTTCACCTGAGGTCATGCTACCCAATCTTATTTTTGGCGTTACAATTGGTAACTGGGTACAAACCTGAGGTTTCGTACCTACACGCTTTGGGTCTACATTTTATGTGCCAATTGCAGTGCCGCAATGTATTGCTATGGGTCCTCACAAAAAAGGTATGAATCAATGTCGATTATGATTCTCCTACGCCCTTGTAAGCGACCTTTTTACTTCTTAATTAGTAGATTCTCACTTCAATGAGATAGTCTTCCCACCATTAGGGGAAGATAAGAATGTCAACGTTCCTAAAGAACTGAGCGAATTATTGTGGAAGTCCCCACTACGTCTCATCTCGATCCTTGTTCTAGATCATCAGAGTGTTACTAGACGCTTTCTCTAATCTAGCAAACATAACAAGATTTCATACCAGCTGTAAACATCGTTGCAAGGATAGATGAATCTAACAAATGTTGTTCTCCTAAGAGGGATAAGACGCTGCTAGTAGGTGGCTGCACTTAGTGGTCGATCTCAGTACATCGGTGACTAGCCAATCAATTTTCCCTCACTCAAAGTGCAACAAATTACTTGGTTCGAAGGATTTACCTCCCCAAAAGTGGAGGAACACGGCACAATCGAATCCCTTCCTTGATCGTTGTCTCAATCATTTCCACCTCATGAGATTAATTTGGATTTCGATTTGAAGTTCTTGGTCCAAGATACTAGTTTGGTTGAGATATAGAATTGGAATGAGATTATCAACGATGATGTTTCACTTATATAGTAACTATTGACATAAATGAAAAGCAATGATATCGAACCTCATTCTGTTGATTACCGGCAACGTAGAACTGATTGATCAACAAAAAAGAACAATCCATGTCGAGTGAAAGGAATGAAATATTGCAATATAGCGCCGCCTTATGGCGCTAGGCTTCTCTCATATGCCTTGTGATTCATTGCAGCATTATAAACATGGTTGTAACGTATCTCTAGGATCAGGATACGAAATCTACATTAAGTTCCCAAATAATTACATAGACTGATTCAATAGTTCTAGATCATAAAACACCCTATCGATTTTAGATGAGGCTTTCACTTAACCAATTCAGAACAATCTGGGCGGATGTGGTATACCTGTCTAAGTGAATTTTGATCTAGTAAGGATATATACCCTGCGAATACGAAATTTGAAATTGCTAGAGACTAGAGTTGCAGTTTATGTCAATGGCATGAATCTCACTAAGACTCCAGAATAGCTTGAGAAAGCAGACTGGCACCTGAAGTCAGACTTTGAGATGAATGATCTTGGAAAAACTCAAGACTAACTCAACCTGAAGTTTTGAGCATAGTTCTGAAGATATTCTAGTCCACTAGTCGAACTATACCCGGAAAGTGTTACTTTTGAGTATACCCTTGATCGTCTAGACGCTAGATGTAAGTGAGACCTTCGAGGAGATTATGGAGCTAATAGTTCTATATCTAAGTGCAGTTGGCGTTTGTTATACTTAATTCAATGCACTAAATCGGACATCTCAAGTGCTAATAACTTTTAGGATAAAGCAGCATTGCACCTACATTCCACCACCAAATTTGTGTTAAAGATGTTTTCCGTTACTACAAAGTTGGACTTATCATGTCCCTATGCATCTTAGAATGAATCGCACCTCCTTGGTTCTCGGAAAAATGCTTACTTTATGGGATACACTGACTCAGACTATCTTTCTAATCTACACAAGGTACGTGCCCTTGGTTCTTGAAAAGAGGCCTACATTCTTTCTCTTTCGTTTCCCTTGGCTGAAGGAGTTCTATTAATTTTTTAATATTTAGCTTATAAACAGTTGCTATAATGAAAACTCTTTTTTTATAAAATCTGTTGGAGATGAGTTTATTAAATTTAACCTTAAAAATAGAGTTTTCAATTTTATAGATTTCTTTTGAAGATGCTCCAAGTGTTTACTAGTCAATATATTAATCGACAAAAAAAAAAAATTCTAAATAACAATGAACTATCACTGTTAAACTAATAATGATGGATCCTCTCTGGAACCCTTCCTCCTAATCCTTTTTGTATTCTTTGATTTATATCCATACAATGCTTGTTGATTGAGCCGATTCGATGTTAATAAATAAAAGTATATAGAAGTTTTTGTTTATATTATTTTATTTTAATAAACACAAAATAGAATTTTATTAGATAATAAACTCGCGTCAAGAAAATTATTTTTGAAAATAAAAATCGAGAAGAGATTTTACATTTTATTATCATTTTGTTAACATTGTATTTCAAATAAGATATTCTAATTTATTTATTTCTACCCAGAAAAGAATTTAACAGTACGAACGTGACATATTTGCTCTAGGGAAAAGGATTCTTGTCCCATTTTTTTTCTAATGATTCAGTAATTGTGTCCGTTCATCGTACATCGTAAAGTCAATTTTTGTTAAGTATTATTTATATTTGAATTTTAAATTTTAAATAATTTCTAACCATATAATGTACGATAAATTGACACGATTATAAAATCCCTAAAAAAATGTATTCGGCGAGGATCCTTTTCCTTGCTCTAGAATGGTAGCTACCGTGTCAGTATATGTTTGTCATGTAAGCCGACATGTGGCTCGATGTCTGGTCACTATAGAGATATATCAACGTCGCAGAGACCGTTTTGGTACTAAATTACGAGAAAGGCCTGTACCTTCGAGTCGGACTGGCTTGCAATTTGCATGGCCGTACGTGGTAAGCCCCCCAGCCCCACTACCCTTCTTTACTCATGAACTTGGCCTTGCCACGTTTGTTTGTGCATGGACTATTACGTATTACCCACTCTATTATTAAGATATGACGCCTATGCTATTCTTACAAAAATGACGCCTTCTCAACCTCTTTCTCCAACTTTTAATACACAGTAGTTACAATATAAGGACAAAACAGTAATATGATATTTACCTACGTTAGAAGAAACTAAGGTTCTAAAAGATGCTAGGCAGTTTGGGGTTTAGCGCATAGGCGATTTATAAATAAATATCTGCTTATACTTAAAAAATAGATAATGAAATATATTGTGTGTTCATCTAAGTATTCAACAAGTTTCTTACAATTTATTGGAAAAAAAACATGCATAATGAAAATTATGTATTTTCTGTGTAAGTGAAAATCGTAACTTAGGCGGGCACCTAAGTAGGTTTAGGTGCCCTTTATTAATTTTCAAACGCCCAAGGATTAATCGAGGTGGTGGCCAACCGCCTAGCTAATGCCTAGGTGGGGATTTTTAGAACAGTGGAAGAACTGCTCCATTATTATCCCATTTTTCATCGTTGAATTTTTCTTTTTGGAATTTTAAAAACTAATCACACTCCTAAGTGAAAAAACAAAACAAAATGAAATTGTTCACACGCACAAAATGTATGGGCATCAGCTGGAATTACTTATGTATAGGAGGACCCTTCCTTCTCATATGAAACCACTAGTTTGAGATCATCTATTTTTAAAAAAACTTTATGATATTTCCTTTGTGAAGCCTTTAATCCACATCCATGATTCTAAAAGTCTGTTTAGGCATTGGGCAGTTAGTCAATGTGTCGATTAACTTATAATTGCTCAAATAATCTAATAGTTTATTACAAGGGGCC